CCTGCGATTTTCAGCTTTGTGTTCAATTAAACAGGCCTAGATTTCACATTGAGAAACTAAATTTGACAATTAATTGGGATGACATCATCATATTTCAATAATCATGCGTTTTGTAAGAGTTTTGCCTTGCAGTGTGCGGTGACATTTGCCTCACGTAAAATGGGTGCATTGGTTCAATAAAGGTTTGGGTCGTTGTGACTGTAATCTGTGCAAGAATCATCGCTGAACATCTCTCGTACAGTTCTCTGCTGCCGTCTCCTGGTTCAGAGGAGACAACACACACTTTCCCGACAAGTGGTAGCGTGTCTGTTGGGCTACTCCTCCACTGTCTACACGCAAGCACAAGCACGAACGCAAGCTCCCGGCGTTTCCCCAGATTGAGCACTGTGGTTGGCTGTCTGGTTGTCGTAACACAGGAGACATCAATTGGACGATCGGGACACCATGGGCAGTAAGTGTCCCTTTTGTTGCTTGATTTTTAACACCATTTTTTTGGTCCGTGGTTTGTTAGTGAATGGTTGATTTCGTAAACTATCAGATAGTAGCGCTGCAAGTTAGCATGTTAGCTGGCGTTGCCATCTAGCTTCATAAAAGTGTTGCCCATTTCCACATGTAGCTTGTGAATTTGTATAGTGAGTAAGCTTAACTGTTTGGGAAAACAACACATTTATTGTTTATGACGGATATTTACACCCGAGTGCTGTCGTTTGGGAGACTGCAATCGTTTTGTGCTAACTTGTTAGCCACTCATTCAAATCCTTTAACATGGAAGTTAGTGATGACGACGCATAACACCGCCGAACGTTCCGTTGTCAATTTCTGATGTTAATCACCCGCTAGCTGCGGTAAACAAACATTTGTAATGTGTGTAACTATAAAAGCGATCTTATTACGACGTTATTGTTTTAATTTTCACGTTTATCAGCGTCGATTCTTCTCGCTGTGTAAAGTCCGTCCCTCATTCATTGCCACGTCTCACGGATGAGCAGCTGAAATCATCTGAGAAATGTTCTCTTTTTCTTCATTCCAGTCAAATTCTTGGAAGTGATCAAGCCATTCTGCGCAGTTTTGCCAGAAATCCAAAAACCTGAAAGAAAGGTGAGTGTTCAATTCACGACTAAAGGACAATAAAATGCAAATTCACTTTGACACTGTGTATTGTAAAACATGTTACGATGGTCTCGGTTCAGATCCAGTTCAGAGAGAAAGTTCTATGGACAGCCATCACTCTCTTCATCTTCCTCGTCTGCTGCCAAGTGAGTTTACTTTTTTTTGTAATTTAACCATGATCCCTGCCTTTTCGACACTTTTGTCACATGTTGCAAAAAGCCCACTACACGAGAAATACTTTTATTAAGCCACTATAGAGCCAAGGCAGTTGTTTTATAAGATAAGATATCCTTTATTTGTCCCAC